GCCGGCGCTAACTCGCTTATTTGAGGTAGTTTTTTTTTCGGAGTAGAAAGAATTGGGTCCCACACCATTTTATTCAGAAATGTTTGAACCTTCAGAATCTCGCTTTACGACATTTTCCCGTGGTCCTGACAAAAGTTATAGGCCGCTAAAGTTGAAATTTACTCATTTTCGCGCGCGCGACTAGACCACCGAAAGTATTTATTTTCTCAGCAACTAAGCGATATACATCAATAATTCCTTTTGTAAAATGAAAGTACATTTATATCAGAATCTAAAGCATTCAATTTACCTACCTTGTTATGCACAGTTTTTAGAAAAATGACCGTCAACTTCCAAAATTCGTGTAGCAGATGAAAAGTGCGCACTTTGAACTCTCATAACTTTTTATTTCACGATATCGATTTCCAATATTTATAGCTCATTCGATGCTCCAAAGCATTGTGATTATTTTATTTTCTATAACATTACCGTGAATTTTTCATAATAAAAAAGTTACGGTCATTTAAGTAAAAACCTACCGACCTCGCCGAGTCGGTAATCGCGAGTGAGACGGAGAGGGAAGGATAGTCAGCAGCGTTCGCTAACAAGGAGCGATGCGTAAGAGATTTACTTTACTAAGAAATTTCTCTCCGAATACCAAAACTAGCTATTTAGGCCGTTTAGTTTACAAATGCATTCCGCCGAGTTGCATTGTAAAATCTCAAACAATTCATTAACTCCATGTATCTCAGTTCTTTGGTGAAATATATAGGTACAAATAGGTACCTTTCCCTGTAAATTTTGGGGTTACTCCACATTAGGTATCTCTTGTGCTGTGCTGTATATTGCAAGATCAGCAGTAACAACGGTATGATTTTGTCCCAAAGATTCAGGCTTGTTTTTTTGATTTCACTAGACGATGGTTAGGATGGTATTGTAGCTCGCTGGTGGAGAATTCAAAAACGGCATAGGTATATTATATTGAATGGTAGATACCGGAACTTACTTAGGAGGATTATCAGCAGGTACTTAGGCTGTTAAAGTCAGTTATCTGGTCGTTATCTAGTGATAGGTAAACCTGGTGGTCAATCATTTCTAGACATGCCGTCTGCATGATCTCGAATTTAAACTTAACTTAAATAATTTAAATATGTAGTAGTCATCTCAATAGTTTCAAAACTTTTATGAGTTTATTTTTTCCCCCCGGTTCTTTTGAAATGTGTTAAATTCAACTTTCAACTTTTAATGTAATAATTCAACCCTCCGGTTGGTTGTCTTAAGTCTTAACAAGGCTTGATAATAATTCGTTTTGAAACTTAGGACAACCTTTCCGGTTTAACCACCCTTCAGGTTTTTTCACTTGGCTTCGGCCAGTTAATAATTAAAAAACAACATGTTCGTCTTATTCGTCTTCAACGTTTGTAACTTACCGTTTTCCTGTTAAATTTCACATCGCCTGATGATGGCAGTACGCCGAAGCTATAGTCGCTTTTATTTTTAAAAACTTCAACGAATAAAAACTATATGGGGAAGGTTTAGAGAGTTTTGATCACACAATATATTTCAACCCCCATTTCGAGGAACGATGGATCCAAACACCAAAAAAAAAATCCATGTATTCGTTTAGGAGCCACCCTCAAAAAAGTGGTAAAGTTTCTTTTTTTCTCAGCAACAGTTACAGAGACTGGTGGTAAGTCTTTGAATAGGTTTTGCTGTATGCCCTTTCCGGTTTTGCAAATAATTTTTCAAAATTCCTACCGCAAAAGGACACACCCCTCAATAGGGGTGCGAAAAAATGTTGATTTCGACGAAATTTGGTATCTGGTGGTTTTTGAATCTGAAATTAGTTTTTGAAAATTCGAAAAAAATAATTCCACTGCAATTCTTGGCCGGACAACGAAAATTGACAAAATTCCACGAAGTTTGTTGTCTAGGTACATACTTACGGAACAAAATTATTGAACAGTTTTTCTTAAGGTCATTTTTCAAACAAAAGTTACACTCATTTGCAAATTGGTCTTTCGGGTCAGAAAATGTTCTCCGACAGTGGCATAACAAGTACAGTAAACGTCAATATTACATGTTCTGCTAAGGGTGTCTACCTACATTTCACAAAAATTTGTCAAATAAAAAATGATAATTTTATCACAGCGAGCAACTTCGACATCAATGAGGAAACAGTCACAGAATAAGAATAAGTAGGCCATATTCTGTGGAAACAGACGAAAAAAATTCAACGCACAGTCCTTTTTCAAAAGCGAGATACATCGACAGAAGAAATCCAAATTCCTCGTTTACCTATCACTAGATAACGACCAGATAACTGACTTTAACAGCCTAAGTACCTGCTGATAATCCTCCTAAGTAAGTTCCGTTATCTACCATTCAATATAATATACCTATGCCGTTTTTGAATTCTCCACCAGCGAGCTACAATACCATCCTAACCATCGAACTTGCCTTACATGGAAAAAATTTAAAAAGAAATTGTACGATTATCTAGTCAATGGGTGTTTCTACAACATACAAGAATTTTTTATATCTTCCAATATTTAATTGTTTGTTTGTTTAACTGTTCGTTTGTTTAATTAATGTTATATTGACTTGTTCCATACAAATGTTATTTGTCGAAGGAATTAAATAAAAATGAATGAATGAATGAATGAATCGTCTAGTGAAATCAAAAAAACAAGCCTGAATCTTTGGGACAAAATCATACCGTTGTTACTGCTGATCTTGCAATATACAGCACAGCACAAGAGATACCTAATGTGGAGTAACCCCCAAAATTTACAGGGAAAGGTACCTATTTGTACCTATATATTTCACCAAAGAACTGAGATACATGGAGTTAATGAATTGTTTGAGATTTTACAATGCAACTCGGCGGAATGCATTTGTAAACTAAACGGCCTAAATAGCTAGTTTTGGTATTCGGAGAGAAATTTCTTAGTAAAGTAAAATCTCTTACGCATCGCTCCTTGTTTAGCGAACGCTGCTGACTATCCTTCCCTCTCCGTCTCACTCGCGATTACCGACTCGGCGAGGTCGGTAGGTTTTTACTTAAATGACCGTAACTTTTTTATTATGAAAAATTCACGGTAATGTTATAGAAAATAAAATAATCACAATGCTTTGGAGCATCGAATGAGCTATAAATATTGGAAATCGATATCGTGAAATAAAAAGTTATGAGAGTTCAAAGTGCGCACTTTTCATCTGCTACACGAATTTTGGAAGTTGACGGTCATTTTTCTAAAAACTGTCCATAACAAGGTAGGTAAATTGAATGCTTTAGATTCTGCTATAAATGTACTTTCATTTTACAAAAGGAATTATTGATGTATATCGCTTAGTTGCTGAGAAAATAAATACTTTCGGTGGTCTAGTCGCGCGCGCGAAAATGAGTAAATTTCAACTTTAGCGGCCTATAACTTTTGTCAGGACCACGGGAAAATGTCGTAAAGCGAGATTCTGAAGGTTCAAACATTTCTGAACAAAATGGTGTGGGTCCCAATTCTTTCTACTCCGAAAAAATTTTTTGAACGATTTCGCGGCTCTCTCCGCTGCACTATTTGGAACTTGCGCCCGAGTCACTTGCGTGCAGAGTAGGACAGTTGCAGCTTTACAATGTTTTTCAAAATGTTGACGTCACTATTGTTAATAAAGGTGAGACAATTGTGCCCCACAAAAAATGGCTTTCCTTGTCCAATATTAATAAAAAACATTTCAACATTTTAACATCGACAAGAAACAGTTTCACCAACAAATTTTAATGATATTTTTGCAGGTCTAGGCCGGGAAATGATATGTTTCTGGACTCACTTCGCTATATCACCAGTTCTTTTGTGGTATTATTAACTCTGTCGTCTAATACCTATTGTTGTGTAAACAGCGACTTATTTCACTCTAAACACCAAAAATAATGACGAGACATCCTTTATATGAGAATATTGCAATTCATTAAGTGTAAATCTGGTGGATTATTTACAAAATAAGCACAGAGTTGGTTTATTGTATTTGTATTTGGGTCTCAGTGTTGTTTTTCCTTTTAGAAGTTTTGCAATTGCGTAATTCTTGTTTAAATTTTATCAAGTTTGTAAATTATTTATTTATATTTGTGTCTTTAATTGGAAAACGTGAAATTGCGTGTTAAAATGTGGGGGTAGTTGATCGTTTGCGCTAAGGAGCTTTTATCGGACGAAATTAATTAACGCCCGCGTTAGAAGAGGTAAAGTGATGTTCCCTTAAATATTGGAATCAACGTAAAAAACGAGTCGACTGCTACTGTTAGCTGTTAGTTTTGGCGATGGTAAAAACTAAAAAGAGCGTGTAAATTAGTTGTGTGGTTGAAAACGCAGTTCGTTGTTTTCATAATAAAGTGTCCAGAAGAAGTTAAGGAATCTTAATAAAAGATTGAAGTTATCGTCAAGTGAAGTCGTAAAAGTTTGTGGAGTTTTCATAACGATTCATCCGTAATCAGAGAAAGTTAGTTCAAGCGTGAGTAAAGAAAGCAACTGTTTGTTTGGCTTAGTGAAAGTTAAATGTTTCTAGCGTCTGAGCAGCCACTGAAAATGTTATCATTTTATTTATCAAGGCAGTTTGAGTCATTGAGTTCAGTCAGCTGCTTGCGAGTGTTTTGTGTTTTGGTTAGTGCACTTGAGTATCGCAAATCTTGTACGACTGGATTAGTTGGATTATTACAGAAAAAAATTGTAAGTACATAATTTAAGATTTTTTTTATTTTTAATTATCGATCGCCCGCGTGAGGGGTATTATATCCCAATAAGCTCTGTCAGCTTTTCTTTCTTGAAGGGATTTTGTTAATGTTAATGTGTTTCGCAACAAATTTTCCTCCCTTTACACACTTTTTATATCTAAAACATGCCACATGATTCAAGGATGCGTGCATTCTGTGCGCAATGCCACAAATAGTAAGAAAATTTGAATCGTCATTTATTTAATGCATGACACATCGAAAAATACCTATTGTTTATTTTGTGGTCAGTGTAACTATGCCATCTTTATCTTTACGACTGTATACTTAGGGCCAGTTGTACAATGTAGGTTTAAACTGCAGATTGAAACAAACCATAATCTTCAGTTTTAACTTCAGTTAACATTTGTTGTGTTGTACAAGTTCATTTACAGTGAAGTTTAATTTTAACAAATTTTCTGAACGCCCTAGGTATGTCTGCAACTTCATGTATGTTAATTTTAGCATTCAGGTTGGAGGTTATGTTTATGAATGGTGTATGAAACAGAGTTGTTTCTCTTGCTTGAAAATGGAATCTGAATATAAGTATGGAAAATTTAAAGAACAAGAAGTACAACTGTTAATGACCTTAGTTAATAAATATAAGGTCATTATAGAAAATAAAAAAACAGACGCAATTACATGGAAACAAAAACAAACCACATGGGAGGAAATTACTAACGAATTTAATGCCAATAATGATGTATATAGAAGTTGTAAAAATATTAAAGGTAAATATGAGAATCTAAAAAAAAATGCAAAAAAAAAATTTGCAACCGAAAAGCGAAATGTATATAAAACGGGTGGAGGTGTCGATAAACCGGTATTAATAACTGAAACAGATCAAAAAATAAAAGAAATTATTGGAATTAGTTTAGAAGGGCTAATTAATCAGTTTGATAGTGATGTAATCGAAGTAGTTAATGATGGTGCTGATGAGACAGTTGAATCGATGAAATGGTCCGGCTGGACTCCAGACAAACTGAAAACCATAAAGACTCCAGTTCTTACTGTTGCACAAGATAAGACAGTACATTGCACTGTAGTTTCTTCAGATGAATTGAATGAAATTGAAAGTATAGCTGATGATAATAACATGAATGACACCGAATTAAGTGATGTAGTCCCAATGGCCTCTAATGATCAGAGTGACACAGGTAAACCAAGTGTTCCAGTTACAACCACCACTCCGATTGCAGTAAAACGAAAACGCATAACAAGTGAGTAAACATTATAGAACATTTATGGGTAATCCTAATCCCACACCTGTTATTTCAGATGTCAGAACAGCAAAAAAAGGGAAAAACGATTTAACAAATGATTGTCGAGAGAAGATTTGCTCTTTCACATGCTCGATTAGAATTAATTAACCTACAAATTCAGGCTCAAACTCAACAAATTAAGTTACAGCATGAGGAGCACCTTCAGAAGATAAAACATAACGAAACTGAACATCAATTACGGGCAAAATACTTGCAATTACAAATTAAAATGTTAAATAAAGAAAATCTTTTGAATATTTTAAATACCGAATAGAATCTTACAGTATTAAAATGAATGTTAATTTTTTATTTAAGTTTTCTTGTACAACAATTACAATAAATGCGAAAAATAATTGTCGATTAAGTTTGTTCGAACATTATCTCTTCCATGTCTCTCTTCGTAAACCGCCACATCCCATTCCACATTTTCTATATTTACTTCAACAGGAGGTGGATTAATAACCTTCATGTTGATTGCAATATTATGCAGCACCGCAGTTGCTACAATTATATTTAATGTTGTTGTCAGCTTTACACGCAGTCCAAGTGATAAAACTGCAAAGCGTCGTTTCCAAACACCGTATGAACGCTCGACTACGTTTCTCGTTCTAATTTGAGCCTCATTATACAAATGCTGTGCAGGTGTATTTGGGTTTAACAACGGAGTCATAAGATAATTTTCCACAGGGTACCCAGAATCTCCCACGAGAAAATAATCTTGATAATCGGTTTCCATTAGCGCCTTCAACCTACTATTTCCGAAGATAGTAGAATCATGAACTGATCCGGGCCATCGAGCTACTATGTTTTGTATTCTCAGCTCTGCATCACATACAGTTTGAACATTAATCGAAAAATATCCTTTACGATTCCGGTAACGTTCGGCATCATCACCACCTACAAATGCATTATGGAGTGCATGTTGAAAGCGGCAATAGATATAGTAGTCACCTGGAGATTGGATTCGAACATGTGTACAATCTATAGCCCCAATCACTTTGGGAAACCGGGAAACATTATAGAATTTTCTTGTTGTTTGAGCTTTCTCTTCGTCAGTCGAAGGCATTTTAATATAATGTTGCGCCAATGAGGCTATTGCTCTTGTAACTCGTGCAATAATCCTGGAGGCAGTTGACTTGTGTATACCTCCAAAATCACCTGCTACAATTATCATAGAACCAGAGGCATAAAAACGGAGTGTTAACAGTAGTTGCGTTAGAGCATCAACCGCTTCATTTCTGTAACATCGAAAGATTCATATAACTCAGAAATTCTCAGAACAAACTTCTACCTGTCTGTTAAATAAGATATTTGTTCTTCAATTTGTTCTAAGATTGCCAAAATACAATCCTTGGACAGTCGAAACCTGTCCAAAAAGGCCTCGTCGTCCCATTCTTCAAAATGATTTTTTCGTTGTCTAAACTGTTTACGGCGACGGGGTCTTTCAACAAAATTAATTATTTCCTCATCATCCGACATTAATTCCTCAAATATATCAAATATTTCATTCATATTAACTTGATATTCAGTAGTTGTAGTTACCAATTAACATAACCTTACACAAAATGTAAACAATGTTCGTGCGTGTGCCGTTTTTTTGTCAAACTGCAGTTTTCTATGTTTTACCGTAAGGTAAGGTGCCAGTAAAGATTTAACTGCAGATTTCTCTATTACCGTTGATTGTACAACAGCAGAAACCTAAAATCTACAGTTTAATCTACAAACTTAAATTTTAACTGACATTGTACAACTGGCCCTTAGGGAAAATGTCTGATTTTATAAATTAAGTACCATCGTATCTCACGTCTCACTCAATTCAATTCCACTTATCATCTCCACAAAGTGCGGTCTTTTTAAACTTAATACAATCTCACGATAAAAATAACTGAAAAATACAATGTGGTTTTTTAATATGTAACTAGATTTCCATCACTTACAATGTAGAGAGTAAAAAATAATTAATTTTGCAATTACAATTAATGCTAGTTAAGCAAAAATAATGAAGCTCTTTATCCTTTTTGGGTAAGAGCAATGGATACAAAATTTATAGTAGGTATTAAAATACTTTTGGTCGCCAATTGAAATTCACCTCGGTTTTCCCTACCAAGGATGTGTAGTAATTCATACAGCCGAAACAGTTCGCTATATGGCAGGCTCTTAAGATATTAATGAGGGTAATACAATAAAGTAGTCTCATTCACACAGATTCCATTAGTGCAATTATGAGTAGGTATAAACAGTTTAACCCAAGAAAATCTACTTAGCTCGGAATCAACAAGAATTATCTAAGAGTCACCGCACGTCACATTTATATGGGTCGCCTTCCCCATATAGGTATAGAGGGAAACTGAAAGCGCTGAACTATGTCGCTAGGGACGCGAGCACTACTGGAGAGTCCCACAACATGATCCTAGCCGAGGATAATCAAAATAAAAGTTCCGAAGGTCCATGTGGGAAGAGATTCCAAAAGAGTATGGGATCAACATAATAACAACAAACTCCGACGCGTAAAAGCAAAAGTCGATCAATGGCCTGCTATCGGAACAAGACGAGAGGAGATTTTTCTTACCAGAGCGCGAATTGGCCACTCTAGAGTCACTCACTCCCACCTGTTCCAAAAAGCCGCACCAGATATCTGTGACCTATGCGACACTGAAATCACCGTTTCCCATTTATTGTTAGAATGCACGAGGTACCAGAATGTAAAAAGAGCGTTACGGGTGCCACTCACACTGGAAGAAGCACTGTCTCCAAATAACCAGAAAACTATCCTCCTGTTCGCTAGAATTACTAGAATGGACAAAGAATTCTGATGAACGTCGTTTATTTGTGGTTTTCAAAACTGAACTAGTACATGTATTTCTTCCCTAGGTTTTTCCTCTGTTTCTTACCTTTTGTTACTACCTGTTTTCTCCTATCCGAGGTCTTATCTTGTGTGTGTTCAAGTAAACCGTCTTCACAGACCCGAAGACGTGAATATATGTGCAACTTGTTCTTATCTTATTTCTTCTTACTATAATTCCGAAGTAGTACACTCGTTTTGCGATTAGTGACAACGATCAAAGGAGGGTGTAGCACTAATAACCCAGTAGTTGATGAGCTGCACCTTTAAAAAAAAAAAAAATTACAACATTTTGATTTTGTCCATAGCGCACTTACCTCCAACGTAAAGTTGGGAGAGCAGATTTTGAAAATCTTGGCTTGAGCACAAATATGCACTATGTGGCGGTATCCTTCCAGCACGACATTAGAGGTCCAGATATAATTGTAGTAATGTTGTGACAGGTGCTCCTTTTGGCTCTAAAAGCCCATATCTGCCGTTTTCATACATTACACTGGAAGTATTCGAAATAAGGGTTCAAAAATTCTGTCTATGTACGGTATTGATTGGGGAGGTGTGTAAATATGTTTCGATTGTGTATAATAAGCAAAATAAATGTAAGCTGTTCAGAGAGGAGAATATACGAGCTATTTTGTACTGAGCTTAGGAACACCTGTAAATTTCCCGCAGACGATCTTTGAAAGGCAGAATTGTAAAATACGTTATGAATACCACATTGGAAATGATCCAGTTGGGTTTCCCAAGTGACTAATCCTATTTGCAGTATCAACCTTTGATTATAGACTTTTCCCTTTTCAGAAACGTAGTTTTCTTATTCAGTTTATTATCGTAGCATTACGTGATTAAAAATTGCGCTAAGTACTTTCTCAATTACCGATTGCCCTGAAACGGATCGTTCATTATTAGGTAGTGCTTCGCACCACTTTTGATAATTCGGAATTAGATATTTGTTACACTAATAGAATTGCACCCGCTCAATTTAGCAGCCTTATATGTGAATATGCACCGTTTAATTAATGCTAAAAGCGAACACTGCGACTATGATTTGCAATTAATAAATTTTAATTATCCGCATTGTTTTGCAGTAGGTATATGACTCGCATAACCAACAATGCCTTAAATAAAAATAGTTAAATTTTGGCTTTGTTCGGGCAGCCTCTGGCCACCGTATCGCCTATTAGTAAAAATTTCAAGTTATTCAATCATTGTTCCGAGGACAATGGAGCTCATATGTATGTACAAACTGAACATTTCCCTCTATAGGTAGATGCTAGGTACCTATATACATTAATTAACTATAGGCAATGCTAATTAAAGTGAGTTATTCGCGAACATTTCGTTACTTCCGTGTATTAGCTAAAACAAAAACTTTATTTCGCTTCAGGCTTCGCGCATTAATTAGTAATACCAAGAAGCACATGGAAATATTATACACCAATTATTATTACTATCTTCAATTAACAACGTATTTTATAACTTTGCGAACGAGGAATTGTAATTCATGTAATTTTAGTAATTAAGACGGAAATATAAAGGATTGAACAGGTGTAGTTTTATGTCCGGTGTGTAGGGTACGAGATCTGAACGGTGACCGATTTTATGGACGCATCGGTTCCTATGGGAATGTATTAATTTTCGTTTCAGTAAAATATTTTATGTCTTCGTTGGAGTTTTAAACCGACGGTATGTAAGTTTTATATGACCAATTTGACAGTTGTAAATTTAATTAAGGAATTCAGTTATGTTTAATTGATTTCGTGCCTGCGCATTCGCAGTTTAAGTTACTCCCGAATTCTCCTTATAAAACATTCTCTAGATGAATATTCTGTAATTTTCATGATTTATTTATTCTCCCTAAACAACTTCGACTTTATCTGGTTGATTGCGGTCAAAGAAATATGTGTCACATCACCGTATTCATTTTGTAAGGGCTTTTGTTTTTTAATTATTTGAGGAGTCTAGATAGCAGCGATCGGGAGCAAATTCAATCTTGTTTAATGTAGATATAGTATTACACTTCTTAGCTCATCATGAGATTAACTCGTACCCTGGAACTTGGTGAAGTAGGTATAGGTTTTGAATTGAGTGGGATCTTCGACAGCCGTTAGGAATTGGTAGTACAGAAAATACTAACCAATTTTTCAGATTGTAACCGACCAGTACGGTCCTCTAGAGCGTTTTTGTCGTTGGGGTAACATTGTATTAAAAACGACCGATTTCAGTTCAACCGTTTTAACCGAGAAACGTAATTTCCAAAATTTACGAAGGAATTCTACGGAAGTAAGTTTGTGTTTGATAAAGTGCAAGACATTGGTTATCTAACCAAAAATTAAAAGTTTGATTAAATTCGTGCCATAATTAAAAAATTATCGCATCAAATAAAAGGATGATCCGAGTTCGAGTGGCGCGATCGAAAAAAAACTTAACCCGAAGTTAATATCCTGCAAGAAGCATTTCCTGGCGACAGACTAAAAATACATGCATTATTCTTGTGAAGGAATATTTTTGGATTACTAAGAATTTAAGTATATGGTGTAAAAACGAAACTTTCCCTGATAAAAGCTCAATAGGGTTATCTACAAAGTTTATGACTGTATTCACTAAGTTCTGTGCTAGTTAAAAAGTTGCAACCAGTAAAGAAACTTTCCTGGCCAGTAAGAAGAGTAACACCCCCCAACGTTCCGTTATTTTCAAAATTTTACTCTGAGTCTACAATTTTAAGGCAACCGTTTGATCACCATCAATCCAGTCGACATCTGATTCATTCCAAGAAACAGTAACAAAAAAGGTATTGTGACTATTTAAATTGTTCTTCGGTTTGTTCCGTAAAGCAAATTGCGAAAAATAAAAAAATATGTTTCATTGTTACAATTTAAATAATAAAAAACGTCCTTATAAAAAAGCCTGAGATCTTAATGGTAACAACTGTTTATTTCACTGTTAGAAAGTAAACAGGGTTATGAATCAGAAAGTGTTAGAAAACGTGACCACGGATTCAAAAAGAGTTAGATTTGGAGAATTAATCTTAAGTAAAAAATGAAGTGGAGCTGGATTGCATTTGCAATATATTTATACAATATATTACATGAATATCACGTTGGAATTCTAGGAAAAATTGTAACACAAATGATTATTTTTGCAGTATAGTGTGAGAAGCATACAGGGTGGCCCAACGAAACCGAAACGGACTGAATAACTCGTAAGCAAATAGTTTTTGAGACAAAAGCAAAAACACGTCGATTTCGGTTGTAAGGGCGACATCTTTTACTTCAAAATTTACACCCCTTAAACAGGGTTGCCGCCCTAAAATGAACGTTGGGTCGCGTGACATCATTGGAAAGGGCTCTTAATTTCCTACATACGCATATGGTTTATTTTTCAAATTTGAGCGAGTCGTTTCTAGGATACTGGGTGTCAAGTCACAATCTATTATGGTTCATAATAGGGATAAATAAGGATTCGAATTGTAAGGGTTTTAAGGATTCTAGGGATTCTAAGCACTCTAAGGATTCTAAGAATTCTACTGATTGTAAGGATTCTACGGATTCTAAGCATACTAAGGATACTAAAGAATAAAGATCTTAAGATTCTAAGGTTTTTAAGGAATCTAAAAAAAATTATAAAATTTCTAAGGATTCTGAGGATTCTGGAGATTCTAAGGAATGTAAATATTCTAAGAATTCTCAGGAATTTGATGATTCTAAGGATTCTGCAAATTTTTTTTCAAAATGGCGGCCAACAATTGTAGATTTTACTAATAAAAATGGTCCCGTAAATAAACATCAAATTAGAACAGATTTTAGTAAAACTATCAAACGGTGAATTAGAGACGGATCAGATGAATGGCCATTTTCAGTCAATGGTCGCATACAATATTTCATAGCTGACCTTCATGCAACTGATTATGTGTACCATCAGTCATGTAGCGTGAATTTCCCTACCAGGAGAAGAATGCCTGAACAATATATGCAAGAAATATGTGGAAAAAACCCGAAATTAGGACGTCCACAAAACGACCATCATGCAGCTATTTTCAATGAAACGACGACAGATCTTATAAGTGTCTTGGAAAAGTTTTTGGGAAGATCTGATGTGTCAACCTACTGGGTACAGTTTTGTTCGTCCACTACATCTGCTGTGGTGGTGATGGGAACCGGAGAGGGGACACATTTTCTTCCAACGCACGAACCCAACTCGCGATCCGATCACATTACGGTGCGGATCAGGAGCACGACGTGGAATGTTAAAGTGCCGTCGAAAGATACGCTGAGTGATAATGAAAGAACGACCATTTGCAAAAAACGTGCGAACGGCGAAGCCGCGATGCTCTTCAC